ATCTATTTCCTTTGTAGGATAGGAGATACGATTGAATAGAAGTCCAGTCTATGTTGTTTGTGTGTTTAGTTAGGATTGGAAGTATCATTTATGAAGTGTTTTTTTTTTTGGAACTGGGCAAGGGGCCTTTGGTCCCCAGCACAATTTGGTGTCAAGGCTGTTGTGATCTCATAGCAAATTGACTGTATTTCTTGTTATTCTATTTTAAAAAACTGATTTAATGCGCAGTTTGAAGGACCTGCGCTGCAAACACTCCTTATCTTGCTAAGACTTACCATGCCATATCCTATTCTAACTTGACTTGTTCTGAGATTAATGTACTAAGCAAAAGCTGCTTGTGTAAGATGATGAAGTTTGTTTTTAGGAAACCTTATTCTTATTTCAAAAATTATCATTGGTTGCACGTATTTTGCAGTGTGACAACATTTCTCTGGAATTGGACCTTTTATTATGAGCCTACTGCAACAAACTAAAATGACCGTTTGATTAACTGAATATTGGCCAAGTATGTGTCAACCTTCTCCCTATCCTTATTTGTTTTTTAGTTTTAGTTTTTTTACTTTGTACTCTTCTTGTAGGCCTACATACTTAGATCTGACATGTTTGGTTATATTAATGTTCTTGGACATCAGGTTCAATCATAATAACAACCAAGTGTACAACTGTTCACCAACATAAACACAATAATGGCAAAAAAGAAGGGTTAGGACGCAACATACCCTTATTTAATAGTGATTGGTTAAAACAAAATACACTTAGCACCCTGTCCCTGCCCTCCACCACCGTCCATCCCAGAGAATATTAACTGTTAAACATATCAGAGTAGATGATTAAGCGAGCCACACATAGCAAAAACATACACTGGATAAGTATGTTTAGTTTTCAGCTGCAGTTAGCAGGAAAAAGCTGTGTTGTGGATTGCTCTCTACAGTATCTTTGGAAAGAACTTGAGTGACCAACACTTTTTAGAGGAAACGGATCTATAAATTCCTTCTATGAAATCATGCCACATTCCCGTGATAAAAGATTAATGTGATGAATGATTGTTGTTGCTCTTTTATCCATCAGAAGCAGAGGATGTTGTGTGACCACAAGCCTGCTCAGTCAGACTGTGAATTATTTTTGTAGTGGCCCGGAGACTTCTATAATATCCAACACTGTGGAACATATCTTCAGTAACCACGTTTATTTTTACTTTTAAAATCCTGATTTCACAGTGGAAAGTGAGGAAATATCGTGTTTTGGGGGGGAAACGTACCCTTTAGTGAGACGTCCAATCAGTTCCGGTTGTCTTCCGGTGGAGGGCAGCAGTGAGCGGAAGTGCTAGAATCACAAACGAAGAAGAAGAAGAAGCAGGAGCCACGGTGTGTTTCCGGGTTTATGCTGACGCGTCCCTCTTCTCCTCACTCTCTACGTGTCAGTAGATCTTCTGTCCGGAGCTCAGCAGCAATACAGACCGGTGAACCCGCAGAAACATGGCTCCTAAAGGCAGCAGCAAGCAGCAGTCCGAGGAAGACCTTCTCCTCCAGGACTTCAGCAGAAACCTCTCCGCCAAATCCACCGCGCTGTTCTACGGGAACGCTCTCATCGTTTCTGCCATCCCCATCTGTGAGTATCAGGAGCTAACAGAAGCTAACAGGCTAACACTGAATCCCTGACAGAGTTGTCAAAAAATGATTAAATGATTATGTAATTATGCATAACATGAGTTAGTTATAACACCTCATATACTTTCATAGACAGAAGAATACAGTAACACATGATAATCAGTATGATTGACTGTGGTATGCTAATGCTAACTCTGATGTCAAGTTACTGTAGGTTTAAATGCAAGCAGTACACATACTCAAGTACACACTTGGGGTACGTGTACTTTACCAGAGCATTTTCATTTTATACTACTTTATACTTCTACGTCTTTGGAGCAAATGTTGTATTTTACATTCCGCTTCATTTATTTTACAGATGTATTTACTAATTACTTTATAAATTAGGATTTTGAATACTTCTTCCACCACTGGATGCAGGCTATCATTATAGTAATAAACAATATTGAAAGCTATTAGTCTTTGTAATTATGTGTTTTATTTTCGAAAAACAGGATCATCTTCCAACCTCAGCAGATAGTTAAGATAGGCAGGAGAACATCTGGATTATAACATGTATTTAACACGCTTAAAACCTATCTACTGGTTTGATCATGTCAATGTTATTGATCGACTTATCTTTCTTTAGGGCTGTTCTGGAGGATCTGGCACATGGACCTTGTCCAGTCTGCAGTTTTGTATGCTGTGATGACTCTGGTCAGCACCTACCTGGTGGCCTTCGCCTACAAGAACGTCAAGTTTGTTCTCAAGCACAAGTAAGAAGCATAAACACACTTTGCCGTCTGGTTTCTTTTAATTTTATCAAGTTATTTGAATAGGAGAACACTTTGAAACTAAGTTATAATCTGTTCATGATTACTGTCAATATATTTGTTAAATAAAAACCATATATTTTGTTTAATGTTATTAGTTTATCTGCCTTTAAAAGCCAATTTCTGTAAACAACTCTCATTGAATGGGTTTTGGACGGAGTATTTTTAATTTAGTTTTTAATTTTGAAGCTTGACACATCTTTCACCCTTACTAAATATTTGTATTTTCTCTTCATCCTCCAGAGTTGCCCAGAAGCGAGAGGATGCCGTCTCCAAGGAGGTGACGAGGAAGTTGTCCGAGGCAGACAACCGCAAGATGTCCCGCAAGGAGAAAGACGAGAGGTGAAACATGCATCATCTTGTGAAGCCAAACCTCACACACACCGAGTTGTGCTGGACGTTTGACTCTTTGACTATTCAAAGTGTTTTCAAAGAGCTGCGTACAGCAAATAGTCTCGCACTTTAATAACACATCACAGATTCAACTTCGTAGACATAGCCTCTCCACATGTTTAGTTCCTCTGATACAGATTTCAAGTCTATTGTTTTAGGCTGTTTCACAAGTCAATGTTTTTAATGGACTCTCATACGGTTCATTTGGGCAGTTGTTAACGCAGTAATCGTACTCTGGGTCAGACATAACTAAAACAGGTCTGTACCCTCGGGCCATTCAATTGCAGTGAGATCAAAATCGAACCCTATTGTAGAAATTGAACCAAAACCCATTATGGGCTGCATGCAGGGCATTTGTTAGGGTGGGTTAACATGAGTGGGAGAGGACAGACTAAATCGACTGGAGGAGAAGGTACTTAGCTCCATTTTGGATTTCTGTTTACATTTTCCACCAGCACATTTCTGACCAATAAGAAAGATGCAAATTGACTTCCTGCCATGCTCCCTCTTACACGCCCCTCAGCATTTAGTCCACTTTACTCTGAGCACTGTAAAACTGAACCAGATTAAATAAGAAACAAACCTTAAATGTCACTTTGATTCACACTAGCCATATGGACTGGGGCTGACGGTACTTTGTTTACTTGACCATGAATGTTTGTTTCTTGTTTTTCCCAGGATCCTCTGGAAGAAGAACGAAGTCGCCGACTACGAGGCCACCACCTTCTCCATCTTCTACAACAACACCCTCTTCCTGGTGCTCGTCATCGTCGCCTCCTTCTTCCTGCTCAGGAACTTCAACCCCACCGTGTATCCTTTCAATCACACTGTGTAATATCATAATTGCAGATTGGCAGTTTTACTTAAAGGTCCCATGTCATGGCCATTTCCACTGATCACAATTCCATTGTTGAGGTCTACTAGAATAGATTTATATTGTGCAATTTTCCAAAATCACTTTGGTTTCTCATACAGCATCTCTGTAAACTACGTGTATTCACTGAATTTCACTCTCTGCCTTTAACGGCTCGTTGTAGCTCCAGTAGCTCCAGCCCCCACCCTCCCTGTGAGCACAGTGTGCCCTGATTGGTCAGGACGTTGCGAATCGCGCTGAGCTCCGTGGAGGTGTGGTTTCCTTGTTTAGCGACAGCGAAACACAGCCAAACTCAACCTGAGCACACACAAAGTCACAGCCGAAGTAAAAACAATAAGTGTGGCTTGATATTGAGTAAGAAAAAGGTTGATAAACGCTGTGAGAATGGGTCTGCAGAGAGAATTTCGCCGCGATCCCAACTGTCTGTTATCAGCCTGCAGCCAGGGAGGAGAGATCAGCAGAGCTGCTTGCACTGAGTGTGTGTGTGTGGATTGGTTAATTTGGACCAATCAGCGGGGGCTTAACGTAACAGCTTCGCGGACGTAACGTAACGGCTCCACGGATTGGTCCATTTCGTTCCGGGAAACGCATGACATCATGAGTTACCCGGAAGAATCAATGGACAGTGACGTATCTCCAACGAGGCGTTTTGGGGAGGTATTTTCTGTGTTAGAGTTTTACTCGCTACAGGGTGTACTTTGAGGGTTTTGACTCTGCAGACCGTTTACATGCAGAAAAACCTTCATAACACACAAGGGGACGGGTAATAACCGGAAAAGCATGACATGGGACCTTTAAACTGCATCATAAGTCATTTAATGCTTGTTTGTTTTTCATTTAACACTTCATCATCCCTCTGTCCATGATTGTTTTGACCTTAACTCCACATCTCTCCAGGAACTACATCCTGTCCATCAGTGCTTCCTCAGGACTGATCGCTCTGCTGTCCACTGGCTCCAAGTAAAGGAAGAACAAATCATGGAATAAAAGCTGGAGGGGTGGGATTGGGTTAGGAAGTGGGCATACAATATTTTGTTTTTCACTTAAGTTAGGAATGGGGTTTGAGGGACCGAAATATCACATTTCAACTTCATGAAATTCATGATCAAATGTCTGGAGGTGCTTCTCCAGGTCTGTTTTTTGTAACAAATAAAGACACCAGGTATACTTTCCTCTGTGTTAATCTCATGTGTGTGTGTATGCCATTCAAAACCATTTGAGGATATAAAAGGAACAGTTCACCACAAATCCCAAACTTATTTTACATATAGTGCTGTTTAAGGAAAAAATATTTAGTGTCATTTTGGGTTGAGAGGTTCTTTTAATACGGTCTGAGACAAAAGTGAGACACTGCTGTTTCCATTGGCAATGCATTTATTTATAATCACACTTTCATATTGACTATTTACAGAGAAAACACTGTTCAGGAGAGAAACACTGATGGTTTACAAGTCAGTTCAACATACAAATATTGTTAAGTCGTTCCCATCCGCGAGGTGCAGTGGGTTAATTTCGCTACTTTCTTTGTTGTGTTAAAAGCATGTTAAAGTAGAAAATATAGCCATATATTGTTTTCATTTGTAGCTTTGTTCCATTTTGGCCTCCATAGTAAAAATGTTTAACAAGTTATGATTTTCTAGAGCTGCAACAATTCAACTAATAAGCAGAAAAAATACCACATCAAAGGGACTCATAAAAAAAATTACCATCTGAAATGTTTTCAAAAATGTTCTCGACACTGATTAATCAATAAGCTATTTTATTTGCTGCTTTACTATTTTCTCAGACAACAATGACCAATGTAGGAAAGTACCCTTACAATACCACTGTGTTAATGCATTACAATTCATTTTATTGGTACCAATATGAATTTGGTCTCCTTTAGGGGATATAACTGAAAGCTGTGAATGACTGTTCCCATAAAATGTGTTGTTCTTAAATGACGGCCAGAATGGAGCAAAGTTAATGGTGTGCACTCAAAAAAAACTGAAGGGTCAGACTGAGAAGACAAGGTTGCTATATCCTGTTTGGTATACTTAATTTTAGGTACATTTCTTAAATATGTTTTTTTTAGTACGTCGCCATGTAATAATCTTGATATAATCCCTCACATGTAAATTGTAGAATCAGCATACATATCGTTTTATTCTCTCTTTGTTTGCAGGACAGCATCCAAACACCATTTAACAACTTGCAATGAACGACATCCCTGATTTTTCAAGGCACTCTTATCGGGTGGAGAAGTCTCCACACATGTACGGTCACTGACTAACAGAGAGGCAGCTTGTTGACTTGCAACAATTAAAAGTGCACATTAGTACAAATTACACATTTTACCACCAGAAGAAGTAGAGTCAAATAGTAAAGTCAATAGGTACAAGCTTTTGTGGTGTCAGTAAATTGTGCCAGATTAAGTCAATTAGAAATCAACTGTGAGCCAAACTCTGCTTTTTGGTGCTTTTTTCCAATATGCATCATTTCTGGTTAAAGTCAACATGGGGTGAAATGTCCTTTGATTAGAATCTGAAGGGTGTTAGTGCTACAAGTCAACACATGTACATCGAGGACAAGAAAAGTGACTCAACGGAAACTTGGTTAACATTTCTGCTTTCTGTGATGGCTTGTTTTCCAGATGAAAAAGAAATAGCATGAAGGCAACACGACCTGCTCAGAGATAAGGATGGTGCGCCTTCTTTAAATAATGCCACTGTTAGTACAGATTTCCTTGTCTGACAATGCAAGAAACAAAAAACACCCTTTAATCCTTATAAATACTATAAATAATGTTCACAAACCAGGACATGAATACTGTGTAAAGTGAGGCTGGAGGAGGAAGGTATGAAGAGAACGCTGTAGCAGTAATCCCACTGAGGAGGAGCAACAAAATAACTCTATTTACATTTCATTTATATATTATATATATCATCCTTACAGTACTGCAAAGTCCTCATCTGCACGGAGGCTTCTTCATGGTTTTGCTTATGATACAAGGTATGCATTTGTACACGTAAAACCCCCATAATTCGCTAAACAAAATGTCAAAATAAAGTTCTAACGTTCATCTACTCTACAATAAATACTGTGATATTTTTATTTGCCATATCCCCTATGCGTCTTTTGTGCCATAAACAAGCGATAATTTGCCGTTATCATAACCAATATCAGTCATCCTTTTATTACATAGATGTATTATATTCCTTTTCTGCAGGGTTCATCCAGCAGTGCAGGTTCAGAAGAGGAGATACATGTCTCCGTAATGAAAGCCAACTGAGAGAAAAGTAGTCCACGTCTTTTGCAAAATAAATGGCGTCATTTCTCTCTTCTATAATCTACTGAAGCAGAGCAGCAGTTCACGGAAAAGACCACACGGGGGCGACATGCTTCACTCTCTCCCATAACACCAATGTCCCACAATCCTTTGCTTCACAGACAAGCCTGCAGCATTTCTGATCAAACTCCTTTCTGATGTGCTTGGTATAAAAGTAAACAGAGGCACACTGTCGCAGGAGGAACATGCACCTGCTGGTTAACAACACTCAGCATTTGCAGCCTATAACATATCTACTGAATACTATCTGTGCTATACTGAATACAGGACTGAGTACATTTGGTAGAAGGTCATTCAAGCTAGTAGTTTTGTTGAGGCCTCATCCAAAAAAGTCAAGAGCATTGTCATTGCTAAAGGTCATGAGAAAAAATTGTTATCTCACGACTCGAGCGCGCACTTCTGACACGAGAGGTGAACAGTATTGAGCTCGTATGGTATCTTTCTGCTGCGCTGCATAACAATTGAAGGAAAGCGCTGACTAACTGACCACCGGGGTGTTCATACATCTGAGGCTCCTTCATGTACACTTTGCTAAGATACCTCTAATTGATAATATGAGGTGCTTTTATTTATGTTTTCAGCTTGTGGTAGGGCGGTTTCTTAACTTAAATTAAATTACTTGTGGGTAGAGAGGACGAGTAATTGGGAAGGTGTGTTTTGGAGAAGAAAAAGTGACTATCAAAGTGCCCTTGAACAAGGCACTATTACTTAATACTTAACTTTTTCAATACTATACGGCCAAAATCCCAATTTGTAATACTTTATGGATCAAATCCCAACTGTACATGTCAATCACAAGTTATTGAGAGCTCTTCTTGCTTTTTGACGTGAGCGGAAAAATACATTTCTAAATGAATAAACTGAAGGGTAACACTTGAAATAAATTAGCATGGGTAAGACTAAGCTCTGCATAGTTATTTTTGAATGGACGGGCGCTGAAAGGGTTCCTTGGGGAGTTTGGAGGCTGCAAAGAAGCTGAGGTTGTGAAGCGCCTCTTGGCTCAGCTGACCTGAGAGGATCTGAGCGGGACGAGGCTTCCAGTTCCAGCTGAAGTGGACTGAAGTGGGCTGAAGTGGGCTAGAGCCAAGCCCAAAGGAGAAAACTGTGAACATTGAACAGCGGCGGGTCCATGGTAACAGAATGGTGACGTAGGTAGGAGAGGACGGGAGGCTGGTCTAAGAGCGGTAATCCTTCTTACTGTACGGCCTGTTGCCCAGGATGTGGTCGATTTCTGACACCACATGAGACGTCATCTTAGGAAGGACCTGCCAAACAGATAAAGAAGTTGTATTTAAAGAGGACATGTTATAACTATTTTCAGATTCATATTAGTATTTAGTGCCTCTACTGTGACATGTCTCCATGCTTTAATGTTTAAAAAGCTCTTTATTGTTCTCATCCTGCCTGTGCTGTAGCACCTCTTTTCACCCTCTGTCTGAAACCAGAGCCCAGTCTGCTCTGATTGGTTAGCTGGCCGGCTCTGTTGTGATTGGTCAACCACTAAGAGATGTCCCACCCTAAACTCGTACACTGTGTTGGAATGCCAGCCAATAGAAGCGTGACTGTTCCATAGTGATGTCCCTATGTTCCAGAAGTAAACAGAGAAGTGTGTGTGGTTGTGTGTGTATGTGTATGTGTGTGTGTGTGTGTGTGTGTGTGTGTGTGTGTGTGTGTGTGTGTGTGTGTGTGTGTGTGTGTGTGTGTGTGTGTGTGTGTGTGTGTGTGTGTGTTCCCACCTGTATGGCTCCAAGGTTTTCAGTGAGCTGTTCAGGGTTGGATGTTCCCAGCAGAACTGAGCTCACCCCTTCATTTCTTAGACACCACGCTGCAGAGAGAGAAGATGATATTCACAAAGCGGCCACTTGATGGCGCACTGCTGCTTATTATTCATAGTTACATTAATAATTTACTGGTTTTACAGAACAAAGTGATACATGCTATACGGGCTTGGGGAGCAACACAAACAACTGTATTCCCTTACAGTTACATAAAACAAGATGTAAACAGACTAATGGTGCATTTCTAACAGTTGGGGATTACTAGAGAGATAACAATGTTATTAAAACATAAGAGCATATTGGCTGAAGTCTTACCCACAGCCAGCTGAGGCAGTGTGCACACCATCTTCTCTGCGATGTGGTTCAGCTCTTTCAGCTTGGCTTGTTGCTTCCTTCCGTCTTCACTCACTATTTTCTCCTTCAGCCACTGATACGACTGCAGGACGACGGAGAGGAGAGACATAGGAGCGAAGAAGGAACAAAACAGACAAAGACACACAAAGCAGAGGAGGTGTGTATGGAGATAATGAAAGACAGAACGGGGTATTTTTGTCACTTTTGGACGGAGCAAGGCTAGCTGATTTAGGAGAGGTTTACTTTGAGAGATATTTTTTATTTAATATATAAGTATTAGAGAGGAACATTTTAAATTATTGTGTGTTGTTTTGAACAAAAATCTATGTCAATGTTGTCAAAATGCGTTTTTCTTAAAAAAGTTATTTTCCGCTGCATTGGCAGATTGTTTACTGTTTATATATCTGGTGTGGCTGATGAAGCAAATTTAAGCATGTAGCAAGTTAGGTTGAAGAGAATTGAGGAATGTTATTGTGCTGTCTGCACACCAGAGAGTGAAAAACAGCTCAAACTATTCCAGAAACACGGTCTGATGTGCTCTGGAACACATTTTGACTATCTGACAGCCCTGTATGTAGAAGGCAGAACAACTTAAACTTAAAGACTCAAGTTACCCCAGGGGTCTCAAACTCAAGGCCCGGGGGCCAAATCCGGCCCGCGACTTCATTTTATGTGGCCCCGCAAGAGCTTGCAAAGAATATAATAGGTTTATTATATGGTTCCATGCCACTTTACAGAAGCAGGTTGCCCATAAACCACATGTCCCACAATTCATCTCGTTTTGTGACATGCGCACTGAAGAGACTTGCAATAATTTGGCCTGGACTTCTGCTTTCAGACGTAGTTAATTACTAAGTTATTATCCTATCCAATAACAATCCAATTCAGAGGCAATAATGTAATATAATACATTATTTTATATATATTATATATTTATATAGTTACAACCGGCCCTTTGAGTGCAACCATTATGCGAATGTGGCCCGCGATGAAATTGAGTTTGACACCCCTGAGTTACTCAATGTGCCCAATATATCAATCAGGGTTGGGGCTCTACAGGTTATAAAACACTCTGTACCAGGTCTAGTACCATCTCTAAGGTCTAAGGACAGAGGGTGTCGTTTTCTCATACTGATATTCTGTACAAATTGTGCTGTTGTATTTGCTGCAAAGTGTCTTTACTGTAGGGTATTTTTATTATATGTACAGCACTTTGGCTCGACCAAAAATCGTTTAAAAATGTGCTATATAAATAAAACTTGATTTGATTTGATCTCAGTGAGCAGTGATTATCTATGAGGTCTGGGTAATACAAAACTTTAACAGCTTCAGCGAAAAAAGTTTGATTTTTGAAGGACATTAAACAAGAGTTCATCATGAGTCCCAGGTCTCTAATTTGACTAGCCTTCCCTGATGTTGACACTACCTGAAGTAGATTTAAAAAGTCAATTATGTCCAGCGTCAAAGCTCTTATTTCTTTCTAGTTTGGGAGCAGAGTAACCTTCACGTGAATGTGGAAAAACTTGGGATATGGTTCATTAAGCTTTCATACCTTCATGGAAGCCCTGGAAGTTTCAGGAATGCCATTTTCATATTTTCCTGTGATGATGCCGCACGCCAGAGGGGACCACGTCATCGCCCCGACTCCTGTCACCATGGAGAAAACCTCGATCAGTGATGCCGTTCATTTTCAGTTACGTTGCTGTCGCTGCAGTTCCAGTTGTTGGTACGCAGGGTAACAGTACTCTTTTTTCTTATAGTGAGAGCAGGCTTAGGCTTGCCTCAAACCTCCTCCTGGACGCTTCTATTATATACAGTCCCATGATCGTTATTTACAGTATAATTTGGATTGTCTAC